TGCTTGTGAAAATGATACATGTTTATTGTAGGAAATTCAGGAACTACAGTAAAAAATAAGAAAAATAAGATTTAAGAATCAGGATTTTTACCAAGTTAATTATTGTTAAATTTCCTTCCAGTCTATTTCTCTTATCTCTCTCTTTCTCTCCCCACCTACCCCCATCAGTTAGAGTTTTTGACAGGAAACACAAGGAATACCTAGCTTGGATTTTGAAGATAATTATACAAAGGGACTATTTATGTAGATTTAAAGGAGGTAGCAAGGGATGTTGGGACACCCGAGACTACCCACAGGACAAGTGGAAGAAAAAGTGGAGAGCTCAATAAGAGCTGGAGCTGTGGGAGAAGAACTGGCTATTTGAAGTTGTAGTAATAGAGGACATGGGCAAAAGGTTAGCCAGCCCCAGCCCCCTCAGCATGAGCATTTGAGCTGTAGTTTCCAAATTCTGTTTCCTTGGCAACCTGAGAAGAGTTGGCATGCTGAATATGTTAGGAGACAATTTTGCTTATGCTAAAAATGATCCCTGGATTGGGACACTTATAAAGACCTGATGGAGAAGCCATATTTTAGGCATCTCTGAGTGCAGTGATTCTTGTGGCCGGGCGCGGTTCTTGCTGGGTCCTTGGACTCAGTGTGCCTATGGAGGCATTTCAAGAGATAATGGCTCCTGCGGGATGTGAGGATTTTAAGACAGGCAGCTTATACCTGTTTTGCTCTTTATACCTATATTGTTTTGGCCTGGACTGTAGCAAACACTCCCATTGAAAAGGGATACCTGACACTGCCCTGCTGTGTTTCCTGCCTTCTGAGTAGAGTGGCTCTAAATGTGAGCATAAATATGCAGCTGAATCTAAGAAAACTCTGCACATCTCAGGGATATATCATTGCCCAAACTGAGATGCTGAAGCATGAGGGGAAGGGGAAGAATACCCCAGGCTCTCTCTTCTGTCCTCTACTCTCCTGGAACTCCTCCCCTCACTTTGACTAACCTAACCAGAAGACTCCTTGATTGTCCCAGCTTGTGGCAGCTGCTCACCATAGTTTATCATACTTCTGTTGATGGACATCTGGGCTGTTTGGAGTTTTTAGCTGCCATGAACATTTCCGTACAAGGCTTTAGTCATATATTTTAATTTCTCCTTGACAAATTCATAGGAGTTGAATTTTTGAGCCACAGGATTGATAAAAAGTTAAATGATCGACAAACATTTAACTTTTAAAGAAATGGCCAGTTTTTCAAAGTGGCTGTGCATTGCCGACAGTGTAAGAGAGTCCTCCTCGTTTCCCACATTTCCAGCATTTGGTATTCACAGTTTTTCATCTGGGCCATGGTAATGGCTGTCTAGTATTATCTTGTTGTGGTTTAATTGCATTTCCCCAGTGACTAATGATGTTGAGGAGGTTTTCATGTTCTTATGTGTCATGCACAGAGCTTCTTTTATGAAGTATCTGTGCAAGTCTTTATAGAATTTGATTGTCATGTGATTAATTATTATTGTCTATTTTATTATTTTTATTATCGAGTTGTAGGAGTTCCCGATATATTCTGGTTACAAGTCCTCTGTTGGATTTGTATGTTATGAACGTTTTCTGTCAGTTAGTGATTTGTCTATTTTCTCAATGGTGGCTTTGGATAAAACAACATTTAAAAATATTGTTAAATGCAACTTATAATTTTTTTCTTTTTGTGCCTTCTCTTTGCTTTCCCCAAGATTTAGAAAAAAATCATAGTTGAGATTATTAAAATAATTCTGTTTAAAACTGAAATCCAGTGTGGGGGTTTTTCAGGTTACCATGTGTCCTACTTCATAGCAGGTGTATCTTCATAAAAGTTTGTTAAATGGGCCGGGCACAGTGGCTCACGTCTGTAATCCCAGCACTTTGGGAGGCCTAGGTGGGTGGATCACGAGGGCAAGAGATTGAGACCATCCTGGCCAACATGGTGAAACTCAGTCTCCACTAAAATATAAAAATTAGCTGGGCATGGTGGCCTGTACCTGTAGTTCCAGCTACTCAGGAGATTGAGGCAGGAGAATTGCTTGACCTGGGAGTTGGAGGTTGCAGTGAGCCGAGATCGTGCCACTGCACTAAAGCCTGGTGCCTGATGACAGAGCAAGACTCTGACTCAAAAAAAAAAAAAAAGTTTGCAAAATGCTGACTGCTTAGCATTGCAGATAACTTGATATCATTTTTTCCAAACTATTCCCTAACATTAGATTTTCTTTAAAAAATGTTTCCTATAATAATTCAGTCTCTAAATGTGTATTAGTCTGTTTTCTCACTGCTATAAAGAAATACCTGAGACTGGGAATTTATAAAGAAAGGAGGTTTAATTGGCTCACGGTTCTGCAGGCTGTACAAGAGGCATAGCAGCTTGTGCTTTTGGGGAGGCCTCAGGAAACTTAAAATCACGGTACAAGGTGAAGGGGAAGCAGGCACTTCTTACATGGGCAGACCCGGAGGAAGAGAGAGAGAAGAGAGAGGTGCTACACACCTTCTAAACAACCAGACCCCATGATAACTCACTCACTATCATGAAAACACCACTGAGGGTATGGTGCTAACCCATTCATTAGAACTCCACCCCCATGACCCAGTCACCTCCCACCAGGCCACCTCCGACACTGGGGATTACAATTTACATGAGATTTGGTAGGGACACAGATCCAAACCATATTAGGATGCTTCTAGAGATTGAAAGCTACCACAATTGAGAAATGAAGTCAAATATAAAAGAATCACTTCTTGAAATTGATGCACTCTTTTAATAATTTGCTTGGTAGAATTGTATACAGTATGAATCTTACTGAAATTCATTACTAGTTTGATCAAAGTTTTGAAAATCAAAATTACAGTCCATTGGCCAGTGCTTATACAGCATTAAGATTATAGTTTGCATTGGGATACAGAGAATAGGGCCAGCCATATCACTGGGCAGTGACAGTGTGGGGAGTGCAATAAAGGAACATGTGTGTGGCTGAGAGAATAATTTGTCCTTTGTGGGTATGTCAGGGAGTATTTTATAGTGGAAATATGCTTGAATTGGGCTCAAAATGGGTAGGAGTCTCCCTAAGGAGTTGGAGGGTTGGAATGGGAGGACCTAGTAGTGGTGAATATTGATGCACATTTGAGTCAGAGTCACAAGCAGTGGGAAGTGAGACTGAAGAGACTGACAGGGCCTAGAGCATGAAGACTTTGCACCTTGTTCTGTGACTTCCCTGCAGTGGAGTGAATGGGGTGACTCATAGCATCAAGACCAGCCAGGAGGCTCCAGCAGCAATGTAAGTTAGTAGTTCTTGAATTCTCAGATAGGTGTGTTGATATTCACTTGGGGTGGTGGCAAAATATTACAGAAAATACTTAGGGAAAGTTATAGATTATAGTCTCAAACCTTTTGGAAGGCCAAAAGGTTTTATTGAGGCAGGTTGGCATTTTGTCCTCTGAAAGCAGCCAATGGCCATCCCTAGCCCACTTGAATCACTGTAATGGTGTGAGAATGCATTCATTCATCTGTCCTTAAGTCAGGGTGTGCAGGTCAGACTCCGCAGGCAGTGAGTGGTGTCTCTGGTGGTGACACTGACATGATTGAGGCCACATAGGTGTGCATCAGTTTATTAGTCCTTAGTCCTTTTTATTTTTTTTGAGGCAGAGTCTCATTCTGTTGCCCAGTCTGGAGTGCAGTGGTGTGATCACAGCTCACTGCAGCCTCAACCTCCCAGGTTCAAGTGATCCTCCCACCTCAACCTCCCAAGTGGCTGGGACTCTAGGCCACTGTTACTGTGCCTGGCTATTTTTTTTTTAATTGGGCTCACTCTGTTGCCCAGGCTCAAGGGATCCTCCTGACTTGGCCTTCTGGAGTGTTGGTGTTACAGGTGTGAGCCACTGTGCCTGTCCTATCCTTACTTTTTGAATCAGAATCTCCTGGGTGGAGGCTGGTTCACTGCATTTTTTTTCTTGGGCTCTGGAGGTGATTCTGAAGTTCACTGGAGTTTAAAAACTGCTGGTGAATGATGAGGATATCTGAACTAAGACAGTGAGAAAGAAACAAGCGCCGTGATTAGAGAGGTATTAGGGATCGGCAACTAGGTAGTGAGATTCCTGGTGACCATCTCCATGTAAGGAATGAGGGAGGAGCAGCAGTGATTTCAAAAATGCCATTCCTGCCCATTACTTATATGGCAACACAGAGCAGATGTGTGCAAGAAAGGAAGTTTAATCTTAGATACAGGATGAAATTCCTATCAAGAAATGCCCATTTTTATCACCCAGAAATAACATTAACTTTGGGAAAATATGGTTCTGTCAATATAAATATTGCAGATAATAATGAAGTACTTGCATTATATAATACTTATTCTTTTCAAAGGACATATTCAGCGCACATTTGTTTGGCATTAATATTTGTTGCATGCCTACTCATAGTGTGATGATTTTTAGCCTAGATCTATCATTATTATCATCGTTTGACAGATGATGAAACTGAAGCTCAGAGAGGTTAATTCATTTTTCTAAGGTCAGTCTGGTCAGGACCCAGGCAGGATGAAGATTCAAAACTCCTGACCTTGCCAAGTCCAGTTTTCTTCCCTTTATTACACAGCTGCCTCTAATAATATGGTCTGGCAGGGTTTTTTTTTTCTTATTATTTATACATGGTGAACTTGAAATTTAGAGAAGAGTCTAAGATGTCAAGCTCGTAGGTATCAGAGCAGGGACCAGAACCCTGGTTCCTATTTCCTGACCTTAGCTCTTTTCACTGTCTCCTGCTTCCCAGATGATTACAGAAGTTGGGTTTGTTTTCCTACTTGTTTTATGTACAGTTGGACCTTTACCTCCTAAAATGGGAAGACTTTAGAGCATTATAAATATTGCTTTGAAGGGAAGAAATATTGTTTGAGAGGCAAAGCTGACCTCAAGGCTCAGTTGCTTTGAGGTGGTATGTGACAGCACATATCCAGCCTGGGAATGATGTGTCTGTGTGTGTGTGTGTGTTTAATTAGGAACCTGACCTTGATGGTGAAAGAAATATGGAAATAACTCCAGGAGAAAAGGTACTTAGGAACACCAAAGAACAACGGGATCTGCATAAGCGGTTGAGAGAGATTGATGAAAAGCTGAGAAAGATGAAGGAAAATGTGGTAAGTCTTTCTTTTTTTTTTTTTTAAACGAATTTTTTTAGAAAAAATAGAGGCTGGGTCTCACTATATTGTTTAGGCTGGTCTTGAACTCCTGGGCTCAAGTGACGTGCCCACCTCAGACTCCCACAGTGCCAGGATTGCAGGTGTGAGCCACCACACCTGACCATCTCTCTTATTTAAAGTTTAATTGTAACCAACAATTGTACCAAAAAGGTTTCAATCTCTTTTGATTGTTTTATGACTGTTCTCATGTGTTAAATCAGCCATGTGAATTTGTCACTAACAATGTAAATAAAAGCTAAAAATATAATTCATAGGAATTTGATATTATTCTTAAGAAATTTATATGATATAAAACATTAAATAACATATAAAACTAGTCTGACTTCAGATAGTGTATAAGATACTATCTGAAGCCAGAATAATAATCCATAATCCTAATATTCTGACAGGGACACAAATATTTACTTTTTGTGGAAAAATTTGGTAGTTCTCTCTAAAATCATCCTTATGTTTTGAACTTACAGGATTAAATTCTCCCAGTTTTTGTTCATAATTACTAACACGTTATTAGTAATTAATTAATTTTAATGTATTCCAAATCTTTCTTAGCCTACTTCCTGTTTTTCTTGCTCAGCCTAAAGACATGTCATTACTGATGAGTGAAAACTCTTAAAGGAACTAAATTGTGAGCTGGTTGATACTCTGAACCTATTAGAAATGCTCTATAATATTATGATTTTTCAGCTACCCATTGCATGCTTTCAGCTGGATTTTACCTAAAATTAAGGATGTCAAGGCTGAGCTTGTGACTGTGGTCTTGCAGTAATTACCTGCAGTAACCCCTTTGGTCTCCTACTAAATTCTGTCATCTTGGGTGATGATGATCATGATCTTCAAGCCTCTTTGAGTTTCAACCAATATGAATAATTTGTTGCCATATCCTCCTGAGTTTCTTATGACTCAAAACCTTTTTTTGTCCCTGCTTTTATCACCCTTCTCTCAGAGTTGTCGCCTCATGCCTTAGCTACATATAACCTGGTTTTCATAGGATTTCTTGTCTCCAGTCACTCCCTTCTCTCATTATTCCACTTAATATGCTTCTTTGTGGAATAAGCATCAGTTGTGTGATTTTAAAATGTGATCCCTTTCAAGAGCCCCTGAGAGTGTGCAGCAATCCCATGATCAAGCCCAGCTGAACTGCCCTTACCACCTGCAGGCCACAGATAGCAGCACTGACACAGAGCCTGACGGAGATCAGGGCCACCTACTGAAGAGTTAGGCAGCAGATCTGAGGGGACGAATACATGGTGCTTCTTTTATAGCTCATTTCTATTTGCTTTGCATGGGAAATCTCATGGGTGTTATATTTCAGGGAGACCCCTGTTTCTATTTTCAGAGGGATTTTCCTGATTCTGTTGATGGGATGAAGTGGAAGTAGGAATGATTGGGAAGTGTATGGGGGCTTGTGGCAGTCATTGTTGTGGTAACGATGGTACCTTGCAAATTCGATGTGATAAATGAAATGTTTGTGGTTTGATTGGTTTTGAAAACTGTTGGTACTTCCTCTCACCCCATATCTGCCAATCCAAGGTGGACTAGACCTGCTGCTCCTCATGATCCATTCTCCTGATTTCTGACTGCTGTGGTCTGGATGTTTGTGTCCCCACAGAATCCCTGTTGAAATCCTAATCCCAAGGTGACAGTATTAGGAGGTGAGGCTTTTGGGGAAGTGATTAGGTCATGTCAGTGAAGCCCTCGTGAGTGAAATTAGTGCCCTTATAAAACAGGTCCAAGGGAGCTCATTTGCCCCTTTTACCATGTGAAGACATGTCACCCCTATCAATAAGGAAATGGGCCCTTTCTAGGCACCAAAGCTGCCAGCTCTTCGATCTTGGATTTCCCAGCTTCTAGAACTGTGAGAAATAAATTTTTCTTGTTTATAAACCACCCAAAATACCATTATTTTGTTATAGCAGTCCAAACAGACACTAAGACACTGGCCATTTATCACATACCTTGAACGTGCATCTGTTCTTTTCTACCACGTCTCTACCATTATTTAATTTTTGACTCAAAACCTGGGCCCTTTAAGAAATCTTGTGTCATTCCAGCGCCTTATGAAGTTTGGCTACACTTAAAGGGATATGATAAATGTGAAGAATTGGTTGTTATCCAAGTGGAAAAGAATACGTGAGTAGATAAGAGCAATTATTGAATACCAACTATGAGCCAGGCACTGTCCCAAGTATTTTACAGATACTAAATTATTTAACCATCACAACTGCTCCGTGAGGTAAATACCACACTCCTCATTTTATAGATGAAGAAATGGAGCAAAAGAGAGGTTGACTAATTCCTGAAAGTTACACAGCTAGTAAGTGGAGAAGATAGGATTCAAATGGTTCGTGTTTAACAACTATGCTAGTACTGCCTTTCTGGGACTTGTTTTTCTTTTCATGATTTTGTTTTTTGTTAAATAAAGTGTGATACTGTTTTTACATACGCTTGTTTCTAGGATAAGGAGGGAAGGGCAAAGTTGAAGATGGAGGGAGGGGTAAGCCTTGGAGAAGAACCAAGGTACCCTTTCCCTGACTCAAGTCGAAAGAAAGGAAGGGTAGGCCAAGAGAGGCAGGCTGAGAGATGAACAGAAGGTGGGAGAGGCCAGGCTTGAATGTTCTCTATTTACCCTGTAAATTACTGACCACTCCATATGGTCAGAGTGAGAGGGTAGAACTGGGATTGAAGAAGAGAGGAAGGAACTGGAATAGAGCCACTGAGAATGAGAAAAAAGCAATGGTAAACAATTAAGTAGCCCAGGTAAGGTTGGAAACCCTGCTGTGAGATGGAGCCAGTCGGCAAGGCTGAAAGGTTTCTCTGACAGCCCTCAGCAGTCCAGCAGTCCACCAAAGCTAGAGATGAGGGTTGATGAGTGAGGCAAGGCTGAGGAGAGGTTGGGTGATTGCAATGAAAGATCAAGGGGGCAAGGGAACTGGTGGCAGGTACCTATGAGACCATAACTGAAAACAAGAAACAAATGTAATATATATATACCTCAGGTATCAGCTGGGACCCTTTTGCCTCGCTTTGACCCAGTTTCCTAACTTTCTGTACAGACGCAGAATAGAATTCCATCTGCCTATCAAAAGAATGAGGTGGGTCTATATATCTTGAAAAGACGTCTGTGATAAAGAATTAAGGAAAAAGAGCCTTTTGCAGAAGACAATGATTAGTATGATTCTATTTTTATAAAAAGAGCCCTAGGAAAATCCTGGAACAATATACATGTAACAAATGCTTAACAGTGATTACTTTTAGTGGGGCATTGAGATGGTGGGGGAGATGAAGAAAGGAAATTAACTTTTTATAACACACACTATTTTAAGGAAAAAGTATGTTGGGATTATGGGTGATTTTTATATTATTTCTTGTGCTTTTCTTTATATTTCAGACTTTCTGTAACACACATGTGTTGTGTCTATAAATAGAAATAAATCAATGTTTAAAAATGTGGAAAGCATCTGTATGTACACAGGATCATTGCTTACTGTATCTCAATAAGTGGTTTTTATATATTTAGAGAAAAAGAGTGAGTCATCACAAGGAATAATATTCAGCCTTATCAGTAATTAAAATTCATATTCAAACAACCTGTAGGCACTAGATACACCTGTTAGGCCAGCCAAAAGAATGACAAATGTGATATAATTATGTGTCAGTGAGAGTGGTGTAAAGATTGGGGCAGCAATATTTGGACATTATTGGTAGCTTTTTGAATGGGTTATTGTTTCTCCTGGAAAACAATTGGTCAATAAATGTAACAACAGCTGTAACATGATTCATATTTTTGACCTGTATAATTCTACTTTTAGGAATATTTTCAAAGTAATAATGCCCAAGGAAACCAAACAACAAAAAACCCAGGAAATAAATGTTCTCAAGAAGGGAATGTCAGTGCAACTTATATAATATTAGCCCTTTTAATACTGTGGTAGGATGATAAAAATGACAAGTACATGGATTTGGTCAATAGAAGACTTTTTCTTTCATAGTCTCAATCTCTGGTGGCCAATTTATTTCAACAATGGAGAAAGCTCACAGTACTCTAGAACTAAGAAAATGCCAATTCACTTGTTTCAAAGAAGTGTGAATTAGTAAAATATATGTTTTATTGCACTTTAGGTTCTGGGGTACATGTGCAGAACATGCAGGACTGTTGCATAGGTACATACATGGCCATGTGGTTTGCTGCCTCCATTCCCCTGTCACCTGTATCTGGCATTTCTACCCATGTTATCCCTCCCCAACCTCCCTACCCACCCTTGCTGTTCCTCCCCTATTTCCCCCCAACAGACCCCAGTGTGTGATGATCCCCTCCCTGTGTCCATGTATTCTCATTGTTCAACACCTGCCTATGAGTGAGAACATGCGGTGTTTGATTTTCTCTTCTTGTGTCAGTTTGCTGAGAATGATTTCAACATTTATCCATGTCCCTACGAAGGACATGAACTCATTGTTTTTTACGGCTGTGTAGTATTCCATGGTGTATATGTGTCACATTTTCCTTGTCCAGTCTATCATCGATGGGCATTTGGGTTGGTTCCAGGTCTTTTGCTATTGTAAATAGTGCCACAATGAACATACATGTTCATGTGTCTTTATAATAGAATGATTTATAATCCTTTGGATATATACTGAGTAATGGGATTGCTGGGTCAAATGGAATTTCTATTTCTAGGTCCTTGAGGAATAGCCACACTGTCTTCCACAATGGTTGAACTAATTTACACTCCCACCAACAGTGTAAATGTCTGCCTGTTTCTTCACATCCTCTCCAGCATCTGTTGTCTCCAGATTTTTTAATGATCGCCATTCTAACTGGTGTGAGTTGGTATCTCAATGTGGTTTTGATATGCATTTCTCTAATGACCAGGGATGATGAGCATTTTTTCATATGTTAGTTGGCCTCATATATGTCTTCTTTTGAAAAGTGTCTGTTC